AGTGTAGTGCAGTGTAGTGCAGTGTAGTGCAGTGTAGTGCAGTGTAGTGCAGTGTAGTGCGTGTAGGTGAGAGGCTTAGTGCGCGGTGTGGTGTGTGGCCGCCACACGTGAAGTGATGTGCGCATCCTACCTCGGTCATGCTCCTTCTCCTCGTCGTACAGCACAACCAGGATATTGCCCCCAGGAACTTTTATCAGGTGGAGCCCGCCCTTCAGCTTGGCGCACGTCGCCACATCGAATGTGTAGCCTTCGAATTCCAGGTCCCTCTCTATGTTTATGAATTGGTACTTGGTTCCTCCTAACCACACACCGTCGGGTGCGTACCCCTCCTTGAAGACGGTCAGCAGCGTCTGTCCTTCGTTAATCGTTTTTTTGCTTTTGTTTCCATTCTGAGGGGGGAACAGGGCATGCCGCAAAGGGGAACCATATTGTAATTGCCACGCGATCGGCGCGTCACGCACATCATTTGCGCCATGTTCCAGCACACCCAATTCAAACACACACACCCGTTTGCGGGCACCTATCGCCCCCCGTGCCTTACCTCGTCCTCCACCTCAATTTCGTAGTCCTCCTTGTAGAAGAGGGTCCATTTGTCAAACTCGGGGTTGTTTTCATCTGCTTGTGCCACACAGGCGTACACAACTCCGTCTTCCTCCTGCAGGGAAGGGGGGGATATATATATATGAAAAGGCTCACTTATACATAGCACCGCGGACACGCTCTCTCGCACTTGTGTAAATAAGCATGCGTATATATTCACGCATTTACACACTGTGTTGGCCTCTTTTTTTTTTTTTTTTTTTTTTTTTTGGCAGCCACGAGGGCCGCTACAAGAGCAGCATGAGAGTAATATGAGAGCAGCTAACAGTACTAATCAAACTGGTCCTCTTGCCTTACCGATGCCAACCCCGCGGCCGACACCTGGTTGGTGGCCAACAGTCGGTCGTTCAAATAGCTGTCCCATGAGTATTCTTCTTCCGCCATTTTGCCTTGCTCGGTTTTTTTTTAAATTTCACACAGTGAGGAAAAAGGGGCAACGAACGCGAAGAGTGAGCGAAAACACACAGAATGAGTGAACGCGCACAAACTTGTGAACAAGGGGAAGCTTGGGCCAACGCGAAAGTTGTTAAAACGTGAAACACCAAAGAAGGGCTAGCAAAAAAGGAGAAAAGTATGAACACGGCAGGGGTGATATGTCAACTGCTTTGCAAAAAGAGAGCTCAGCAAAGGATGGACGACAGAACACAAGATGGCAACATGGCAGGATTAAATCAACGCATACACAGTAATGAAAAGGTAAGAGGAGAGATCAATGTAAATGCGCCAACTAGCTGAGTGTTTTTTTTTTTTTTTTTTCAGAG